GATCTAAGTCAAGAATAGTATCTGTATTCACACTATTGAGAAGGGGCTCCTCATCAGTACATTTATCAATTCAGAATCTTGTAGAGTTTCTATTACCAATCACTCTCCTCTCTTGAGCAGACCTCTAGAGGACATAATACCATTCCATGCCAAAGAATGACCACTTTTTGGGCTTACTTCCCGAAATTTTTCCTTAAATATTTTTGGGTCACTATCTGAACCCAAAGATTTTCTTTTTTCATTTAGGACTTTCCACCCCAAATTTGCCAAGAAGGCTTCATTGGCCTACCCAAGATTCCTTAGGCCAAGTCCACCCCAGTGTTTGAAAATACACACCTTAGCCCAATTAATTAGGTACATAGCCCCCTATCCTTTTTGTTTGACTAAAGAAAATTGCTCTGATTTTTATCCATCTCTTCAATGGTACATTTTGGAATTTTGAATGCCCTCATAATATATTGAAGGATCATATTTGAAGCTGATTTAATAAGAGTAGATTTACCCACAAGGGAGTGGGAATTCTTTTTCTACTCTGCAAGCTTTGTTTTAATTCTCTTAATAAGAAAATTGAAAGTATTTTTACAATATCTATTAGTAAAGATAAGGTTTTCAAGGTCCAAGGTACAACTCTTTCCTATTGCCAATTGGAATTTAAAGGATCTTTGCCATCATTTTTTGAAGCTTAGGGTGGATATCTTTAGAAAAGATAAGACTAGATTTTGTAAAATTTGGAGCCTAACTCGAAGCTTTAGCAAAATCATCAATTATATTCTTAATCAGCAAACAAGCTTGAACATTTGCTTTAACAAAAATCAAACTATCATCCACAAATTGCAGAATTAGGATATAAGGGCCATTTCTTGAAGCCCTACACCCAATAGGACTATTGACATTTGTATTCATCCTCTGTAGATTGAGGGGAAGAGCTTCAACACATAGAACAAGAATGTAAGGTGAGAGGGGGGGGTCACCTTGTCTAATACCCCTTGATGGAATAATCTCTCTAGTTGGGATCCCATTAATCAGAATTTGGTACGAATCAATCCTAATGCATTCCATCACCCATCCCACCCATTTGTGATGAAAATCAAATTTAAAAACAATATTCTCAATATAGAAATGGGATTTTACACATGATTTGGAAAACTAGTTGATATGATAAATCTATAAATCAGAACCTATCAAGTGGACTCCTCTGACCAAATGACCTCTTTGATTAAATATTCTATCATAAAGAAAGTTGGAAAGGAAACATGATTTCAATCTAATTCCGCTCCCGTCAATATCCCACTAGAGATAAGGCCGCAAACGGTATTTGGTTGTCCAAAATCGAACCATTTAAAGTTGAATCAAAAGAGTTTTTATTGTTCAGTCCATCCATAAAGTTTAGTACAGTTGGTACAATAACGGGTGGGGGAATGAATCAAAATTCAAGGGGTACTGAATCATAGGTGGAGTTGTTGGTAAATAAAACCCAAAAGCTAATAAAAATATTCGAGGTGGACTGAATTCTAAATTTCCATTGAATCACATGTATAGATCCAATTAAATCCAATTTGATTTAATTTAAATATAATACTCATATATACTTAAAATTTGGGGAGGATGATAGTTCAGCCCAGGGTCAGAATTTGTAGGTCTAAAATTTTATGGGTAGATGCTAGCATTCACAGGTAGGCATTGATGCATAGAGTGTGGATTGTTGATATTTTGAATGTTTATAGATTTGCAGTGGAAATCAGAAATCTGCATTGGGCCTGTTCGTACTTTTCCATAAAATTTATATTGTATTTATTAGTAATGATGGTTTAAATGTAGTGTTTTTTTAAATTGTCATAGGATCAAGTTTGATGCAAATACTTTTCAATTCATTTTGTTGATTAGTCTCAGTTTGGAAGGAGTAAAAATACAAATATATACAGTGCAAATACATACAAAATAATACAAAATATAAGTGATGGAGGATGATTTGACCTGACCCCTTGGGACAGTGACACGTGGACCTGACTCGGCACGAGCAAACGACTCAACACCATAGCCTGACTGTGACTAAGTAACGAGCCTACAGGACAACTCGCTACGTTATAGCTCGCTATAAGGGGAGCTCACTACAACGCGAGCTCGAGGTCCCCCGAGCTACTGAAAGGGAATACTCCAAAACAAGTCTATCCCAGTTCGCGAGCTAGGATAACCAGCTCGCTCCAACACTTAGGCAGGAAAACTGCCCCAAAGACAACCTTGAGAAGGGTCACCTCGAAGTACTCCTAGGAGCTCGCTACAAAGTAGCTCGTGACAGGATAGCTCGCTACAAGGTAGCTCGCGGCTAAGCGACGCGATGCTTTTAGGAAGCTTCTATCTGACAAGACCGTACCTGTCAGACTACGTCTCCGGATTGACGGTGCAGTCCCTGCCAATTCAACAGACTGCACCCACGTCTCTCGACAGATGGTGGCGTGCTTGTCCTTCCAAGATGTGTCACTCACCGAATTGGGTAGTACCTTGCAGCCGTCACCTGCACAGCCCTGGCAGGTAATGGCTGCAACAAAAGCTCAGTGGCGGTTACGCCCGATTTGACAAGAACGCCTATATAAGAGCTCCCTAGTTAAAGGGAAGCTCTCTCTTGAACATCAGAGATCCGATCTGAAAAACTTACTTGCTCTCGAGCTAATCTTGAGAACTTAGTGATCCAGCGCGACCTACACTCTTAGCCTCCTTACACTCTTTGCTTTCTCTCCCGGCATTTTAACTTAAGCTTCGGAGTATTCCCGCCGGGCAAATCCCCCTGGAATCCTTCATCTTCTTCCTCTCAGGTGTCGTCCATTGCCAAGTAGGAATCAGTCAGCAGCCAACTAAGAGTATCCGAATCGTACCACATCAATAAGGTTTTACACTCTACAAAGTTGTATTTGTACTCCTTTCAAACTGAGCCTCAAGTAGTATACTAAATTCATTTTTATTTCAAATTATTAATAACATATAGATATTGTAACCCTTTAATTTTCATCTATCTATATTATATAATAAAAAATAGATAACTTAAATCTAAAAAATCTAAATATCATATATCATATATAATTAATACTTGCACACGTATATAGATATCTTTCACACTAATATGATCCAATGTGTATTCCACAATCCAAACACAGCCTAATTGATGGATAAATAAAGAACCAATGGCCCGTCCCTTCTCCTAATGGCAATAAATGCCTTGCTCAGCGATCATATCACAATTGACAATCCCAATCTTTCAGTTACGAGAATCTACAACATGGACCCACTTCATCACATCAGTCAACAAAATCCATCCCATCCATCGGTTAAGTGGGAGTGTGGGACCCATCATGCCCATCCCTGCTGTACCCCTCCTCGTCCTCTTCTCTCAAGCTTTCCAGAAAACATCGAATCTGATTGGCTACAACCTGACAAACACATCCCATCGCACGTGCATCCACACTCACCCTATATTTAAAAAATATAAAAATTCCATTCCCGTGACTCCCTCACTCCCCCTCCCTCTATCAATGCAGCTCGGAAAGAGAGGGAGGACTGAGGACAAAGGAGAGAGAAACCAGAAAGCGAGAGGAGAGAGGAGAGAGAAAAGGCAACACATTTTCCTTTTTTTTTTTTTTTTTATTTCTTCTTGGTGGTGGCTCCCTCTTCTTCTCAGCAGTCAGCAGTCAGCAGTCGAGCCGTGTCCCGTCTTTTCCTCCCTTCCACCCATCTAATCGGACGTGGGGCCCACAAAATCATTCCAACTTCACTCCAACCTCGTGTTACGCCAGTACTCTCCCTACGCACAACCACCGCCTTCCAATCTGGCCCTCCCTCAACCGCCCATTCCCACCCTCCATTACCTCAATCACACATGGCATCTGTGGCCATTAATCCCTTTGTGTACTCCACAAGTAATCAACTAATCACTCCCCCCCCTTTCTGTGGGCGGCTCCGATTTCGCCACGTCATGTAGGTCCCCCACTTTTGCTGTTTCTGGACTGAAATTGACCACAATTGCAATTGCTCCCCCACCCCCTCTCTCCACGCTTTTCCTTTTTAAAGCAAAACCGCAACACTTGCTTTTACGTAAATACCCTTCTACGGAATGACCATAATGCCACTGGATATTTCCCAAAGCATAATGATCGAACCGAACTGTGAAGTGAAACCCTAGAACTAGAACTGGAACTGGAAGCCATTCTGTCTTTTTTATATCCCCTAAAAATAATTGGGTAAGATCCATCCAGCCATGTCACCTGTATTAAAATGTTTGTGTCCGGTTCGAATCTGAAATAGCTTCATTTTTACGAGGGCATTCTCGTCATCTTGACTTCTGAAGACGTAGGGGGGTTGGGGTGGGGCCAGTAGAGAGAGCGGTTCAGTTTTAATGAACCATGTCCATCAATCAATATTCAATAGTAGAGGATTCGGTGGCAATTTCGTGAATTTATTGCTTTTTGCAGATCTCCTGGTGATTTGTCGTGACGCGTCTCGTAACTGGGACGTGGTTGCATTCTGCCACGTGTCCTCCTAAAATGTTGCAAAGCCTCCCAAGGACGAATTCCCGTGGGCCCCGCACTCAATTGGTGAAGAAGATATTTCTGGTGGTACCAACTTCTCGTACAATAATTAATTAAATTTTCATCCCGAAAAATAATAAAATCCTCTATCCTTATTTCTTTCTTTCTTTAATTATCAAAATATTGTGCAACAGCAGCAGACCGTGCCTGCTGCTCACAGATCTAGAAGCAAGCTAAAGACTTTGACGTGTGCCGCGTGGAAAACATGCAATCAAGTGGACCCACAGAGACATCCGCTCAATCCTCGCCTTTTGATCTTGAAAATCTCTTGGTAGGGCCACCCACGCCTAATACCGAAATTTGACCAAGGATCTATTGAGTAGTTGACACGTGGCGATTTCGTCGCAAGGAAATTTTTAATTAAAAATTGGGATTTGGGAAAAATAAAAAGGAAGAAAAAGAAATAAAATTGAGCAGTTCGAGGGGGACGAGGTTATGTGAACAAGGAAGGCGGAAGATAAGGAGAGGCAGAGCGTATATAGCTAAACGAAGCGGTCCTTCTCTTTCCTCAAATTCCCGAAAACCGTCTCCTCAATACCACTCCCGGTTTTCTCTAAATACCGCTTTTCTCGCTTCTCACTCTTTTAAAGTCTCCCTCTCTTCTCTTCACCTCTCTCTCTCCCTTTTCCATTCTATTCGGAACTTCGATTTCAGGCGGAACCCTAGAATCTCTCCTCTCGTTTTCCCGCGATCTTCTCCAATTCGCCGTGTTCTGGCCGGATCATTGGCGGATTTCGGCGGCTCTTCCCGTCTAGATCGCCGGGAAACTTGTCCGAAGGTGCGTTCTTGGTAGGCGGTTTCGGGGTTTGGGTTTTGCTGCAGCGTGTAAGTGGGCTTAGGGTTTCTTTTGGAGATGAAAGAGAGCGTCTGCGAGTTGTGTAGTGGAGAAGCTTCTCTCTACTGCTCGTCAGACTCGGCCTTTCTGTGTTGGAACTGTGATGCCAGGGTTCACGAGGCGAATTTCTTGGTTGCTCGGCATGTCCGCCGGACTGTTTGCATCAAATGCAAAGGATTCGACGGGAAACGCGTCTCTGGCGTCGGATTCCGGCCCGTGCAATCGGTTTGCCGGTCGTGTTCACCGGAAACGGGCGATGAGGATCCTGAGTATTCATCTTCGTCGTCATCTTCGGCTTGTATCTCCAGCTCTGAGTCCCGCGCTGTTGCACCACCCAAGAAGATCGATTTTGATCGACGGCGGCAGGACAAGATCGGTTGCTTGAGCTCGGTTACGGAGGTTTCCGGCGACGACTTGTCGTCGAAGAAAACGATGAAGAAGAGAACGAAGGTACCGAGATCGAGAGCTCCGGCAAGCCTCGACGTGAATGCGGAGGGCATTCTCGTAAATTGGTGCAGAAAACTGGGGCTGAAGAATATCTGCTCCGTCCGTCTCGCTTCGCACGCCTTCGGCATTTGTCTACGTAAATTAACCATATTACCCTTCCGGGCCTCCCTGGCTGCTTCTCTCTGGTTCTCGCTGAAGCTATGCGAGGGCAGATCTGCGTCCACGTGTCAAAATCTGAAGAGGCTGGAAGAGATATCCGGAGTGCCCGCCAAGCTGATCCTACTCGGCGAGGCGAAGCTCTCTCGGGTGCTGAAGATCAAGAGGTCTCAGCAGCACGATCTGGAGGAAGGTTGGGCCGAATGCTCCGATTGATTCGCAGGTGCTAGTCCCACTTTATCACGTGTCTTTGATATGCTTAATTTAGAGGGTAAGATTAAGAAGATATCAGGATATTATTTAGATTTTGGAAAAGAAAAAGAAGGAAAAGAAAATGGCAAAAATGTCCTCACACATGACTTTAGGTGTTGTTTGTAATTATTTGTTTCTTTTTTTTTTATTTTTTCTGTTTAATTTTCACTAACTTTGGTGGCTTGGTTTTGGGGGAGAAATATGATGAGTGAAGTATGTGCACTGTAGGTGGATGTGAGTGTTTGGATGGAAACAAATACATTGAATATGCTTTTTTCACTCTAATGTGTTGGACTGGTGAGATGATAATTTTAAGTGGGTCCCGTCAAACCATGAATTTGGGTTGGTAGATGAATGACATCTGGAAGGCTAATGAGATGAGAGATGCTTGTTTTCTGTTGGATGGTGATCTGAGTGATGGATTAATAGTTTGATAAGCAGTTATAATAGTTAGTTTTTTTTTATCCAACCTAATCCAAAGTCCAAGCCAAGTGCTGAAACTTGAAGCCCCAACTCTAACCTTAGCTCAGGTACCCAACTTAACATTCAATCCAGAATTCCTCAGTTTAGTTCCTGTTTGGGATGGCTTTTGTATTTGGGGCAAGCTGTGTTGTGGATAAAGCTAGTTAGAGTAGTTTCATATTAATTCTATCGTGCAGAGGACCTATGTTGTTTAATAGAATCTTCACCAAATAAAATTTTTAGAGGTATTTGCGAGGGCTCCAAATGGGTTTTCATGCAGCGGCATCTTGCTTTGCAATGTGGGTTTTACACGGAAATCATCCTAGAAGAGATGTGTTGGATGAAAATCCTTGAAAGCCAGAGTTGAAAGCAGCAGCTCAATGTTACCTTTGACGATATAAGAAGGGCACGACCTCACGCGAGGGGCCCCGGCCCCTCTTAGATTAAAAAGTTGCACCGTCTCCTCTCGGCATACTTAAAACATGGAACCCGATAAAACAAAGTTCCTTCTTTTTCTATTATCGGTTGGCTTCTCCGCAAGCAACCATATCAAGGCCACATATTTTAGGAATCCAGCGCTTTCCTCAAAAATTAAATATCAATAAGGTCTAAGGGTGGGTGATTAATCTTCAATAAAAAAATGACCAACATGAGGTCAATGTCTGTTTGAGGCATGAATTAGTTGTGGATGCAATTTAAAGTTGCGAGAGAAGAATCAAATCACCGCAGAAAGAGTTTTGGACGATATCTTATGGGACTTGGTCATTGCTCTCGTATCGTCCATATGTTTGTGTTAATTGAATAAAATAGTGGGACAGAGCCGCAAGGATACACTTGTTATCATTATATATATATATATATATGTTTCAAAAGAGTTTCAATGTATCTGACACATAATGTGACAGAAAGCCTGTCCATCGTCCCTTTCTTTTTCTGCCTACAAAATTTCTTTCTTCTTCTCCATGAAATCTTGACACGTGTCAAACTTGTTGACCTGTCCATCTCCTTTAATTTCTTAACCCCGCTCACCGGCCTAATCAATCACTGTTTTGTTCGAGTGTTGAGATGCTTAGACAGACAGCCACTGAAGTTATTCTTATTGCTTACTTCCTCCCCTCAAAACCTGCCTTGTAACAAAATTTTCCTTCTAATTCAGAATTCATTTTTAGAACATCCTTGCATTGAACATGAAAACATTGCATTATCTGCATAAAAAAATAAAATAAAATAAAATGAAGGAGAATGAATTCTATTAGCCATATGGCATTCAATTGCCACAAACATAAGTGCTTATTCAAAATTTTAAAATATACCCTTTGAAAAGCATTTGTGACTATTTTGTCTTTCATTTTCTTTCAAAATTTTAAAATATACCCTTTGAAAGCATTTTTATGAAAGTACTTTTATAAAAGTAGTTTTATGAAAGCACTTTTATAAAAATACTTTTACAAAAGTACTTTTACGAAAGCACTTTTAAGAAAGTACCCTTACGAAAACACTTTTACAAAAGTATTTTTATAAAAGTGCTTTTGTAAAAGTGCTTTCATAAAATTCAACTAGGGATAATTTTATAAGGGGTATTGTATAAGCACTTAAAACAAAGCTGAAAATTTGGGCTTAAAAAATACACCCTTATTTTAAAAATAAGCACTTATTTCGGGCTTATTTCCCAAATACCAATAAGTTCTTAATGGCCCAAATAAGCACATGTTTTTAAGCATTCCAAAACATGGCCTAAGACTAACAAGTTTGGGAATATGGGTTCGAGTTTGAGATTCAATGGTGGCACAAAAAAATGGTCAAAGGTTAGGTTTGCCATTTTTTGGTATTTATCATGGAGAGTGCATGCGTAGGGATGACACTTTTTCCCATCCCTAACGGGGACCCAACTTCCCTGACCTGATAGGGTCAGGGATGGGGATTGTTTTGGCGGGGTGGGGACAGGGATAGGGTTTAATAGGAATCCCCGATTGAGGTCGGGGATGGGGATTAAGGTCCCCACCCCGATCAAGCATTCCTATTAATTTTTATTTATATTATATATAACAAAGCATATATAAAATATTATTTATAATTTAAAATTTTTATTTATTTTAACTAAATTTATTTTTCAAAAAAATACTGTTATCTAAAAAAATTCAGGGATTCGGATCCTCGTGGGGATCAAGGACAGGGATGGGGGTTAATTTCAGAATTAAGGATAGGGATGATCCCCACCCCGAACCCACCCTGTTGCCACTCCTATGCATGTGACCACTGATCTTGTCATGGAGAGCTTGCAATTATACGGGTTTGATCCCATATCTCCTCTTTTGGAGGGACACCGAGTGATCATCCAAATTGGACTATCAGCTTAGGTGTTTGTATCTAGTGCACCCTTCTTGAAACCCCATTATGGTGAGGACTAACATTATAAAGTAAACGTTGTTGTTTCATGCTTCCTTGACAAAACATTTATCTTATTTATTATCCAATTTCATTCTTGCCTTAAAACTTATTTTAAGACTTATCTCCTTTTTATTGTTAAAATGCCCCTATGAAAATAACTGAGTTTTTAATTACAAAATGGAAATAAGTTCTTAAGGAATGCCACATGCAGCATTAGCAAGATTGGTTGCTTTCTCTTGCATACAATCCAAATTTAACATGAAGACAGAAAAGAAAAAGATAAGATCAGGATTATTCTTCGGCATGAATGTTTTTGTTTATCTTGTTCTTAAAATACAGTGTCAACCAAAAATACAATGACATGTTCAAACTTTATTGTTTTCTCAAAACAAAATGAAAAGAAACAAAAAGAAAAAGTTGGTTTAATTATGGAAAATTTTCAATTTTCAAAGGAAAATTCGGGCTATTATTCAGTGTGTTCACAATGAAATTATTTTTAATCCCCTTTTGCATGTTTTATCCCTAAGGCTGCGTTTGGAAGTGATGCAAATATGTGTAAATGCAAATTAGAATGTAAAACGGTTTATATAAATTGCAAAGTTGGGTTAGTTTTGCATTGACAAAATTACCTTCTTACCAAACAGACTTTTAACTATAATTGATGCAAATACGAATTCCAATAAAGCATATGTTTCTTCTTATTATTTTTTTTATCAAAAGCCCATTTGAATGCAAATTTACTTCTTTTTTATTGATGTACTTTTACATCTTATTATCAATGTAAATATGAATTGATCTATCATTTGTCAATGCAAAAATATAATGTTGCCAAATACAGACAAAAGTGAACCAGAGTGCAAATTTATCCTGAATCAGGATTTATATTCCATTTGCATCGATTCCAAACGCAGCTTAAGGCCCAGTTTGGAAGGAGTATAAATATTAATATGTAGAATGTAAAACCTTATATTTTATATTATTTTGTATGTATTTATACTGTATATATTTATATCTATACGCTTTCCAAAATGAGCCTGATATTTAAACCTTATATTTATACCATATATATATATATATTTGTGTTTGCAGTCTTTCCAAACTAGGACTAAAAGAATGTGGATCACACAAAACCACAGGTCACATCTAAACTGACTTGGGTCCAAATTACAAATAAAAACAAAATGAAAAAAAAGGAGAATTATATCCAGTTAATAAAAATCTCTATCTGATTATTATTTCCTTATTAAAACATGATATCAAATCCAAACCAAAAGTTCAATCACATGTTTCTGATTTCATTTCTAAAAGGAAATAAAAGGGGTAAACTCTGTATACCCCCTATACTATTGGGGTGTTTCATTTTACTACCTAAACTTCATTTTTGCCAAATTCCCCCCTGAAATATAATAGGTTAAGCAAATAAGTACCTCTATTAAAATTCCTTTAGAAAAAATGTAATGAAAATGTCCCTCAAATCACCCTTCTGGGTGTTTTTTTTTTCAATAAATAGGGCAGATAATTTCACTTAATTGGGTTTAGCCATGTTATTCTACCTAAATATGAAATGAAGAATATAAGGAAAAGGTAATTTGGGCATTTAAAAATGTCTATACATCACATGATGTGCACAAGGACATTTTTCATCTATTTTTTCCTGTTGTAATGCTAATGGAGGTGCAAGATGCCATTCATCTAGTTGGTAAGGTCTCCTACTCGTTGTAATGAAGACCAGGATTGAATTCCGTTTGCCCCCGGTGTGATATGAACAAATGAAGAGTACAAGGACATTAATGTGATTGATTGAAATTTGGATTTAACCTGCAGCCAATACTAATGAATGCAAAAAAAGCAACAATGAAATTAAAAAGGGTAAAGTAAATTCCTGAAACCTCTCCTGAAATTTCTGAAACTTTCCTGAAAATTTCGTAAGTACAATCACTTCCCCTGAATTTTCTTGCACAATTGTAAGTAGATCCCCTCTGTTAGAATCCTCTGACAAGAGGTACAAAAATGTCCAAAATACCCATGTAATTACCATTGAGAATGGTTTCTACAAAAATAATAATAAAAAAAAAACAATACAAAGTTTATAAACAAACAAAAAAAGTAGAGTTAAAGTTGTAGCTTTACCTTAGTGACTGATAGAAAGGGCAAATTTTAAAAATAAGTCAATTTCAGAAAAAAGATTGGAAGGGTCTGGGCTAGTGATTCATATGAAAAAGAGAAAATTTGAAATATACATTTTGGTTAAAAGTTACTGCATGGGGGGGGGGGGTATTTTGAAATTTCATACCCTCTTTTCAGAATATTCTTAACAAAGAGGGTCCACTTACAACTATGTCATAAAGTTCAAAGAAGATGATTGCAATTTTCAAACTTCAAGAGAAGTTTAAGCAATTTACCCAATTAAAAAAAATAAATAAATTAAAAAAATA